TTTCTAATCTACTGGAGGAAGATAAACAGTTCTATGTGGGCTGCAAAATTTGCTCAAAGCTTATGTACATAAACAATTATGTGTTGTTATTATACGTCAATGAACCTATTAAAAATTAGCATGTATAGAAATGAGACTCATCTCCTGCAGAATGAGGTAAATGACCATACTACTATAGCTAACAGCGATATGTATTTGATTCGTCGTTAATGAGATATACTTCTCGTGGATTATGGATATGTGCGAATACCCAGCGCATACAGCTGTGAGAATAAATATTGATTTAATGTCGCTTTACTCGTTCATTACATGTTCACTATAAACAGAGGTTTCTACAAACCACAATAAAACACTACCTTGAAAAATTGAGCCCGCTGAAATCATAGTCACTGTAACAGTACTTCGTTAGTAAAGCATTGTTCTACCACAAGTTAAAGAGATACATCATGGGTGAGCTCTGAAACTGTTTCAAAATTACAATCCAATTATCTCTGAAATAGGTGGGTCTGTATTTATATGTTTGTTTAAATAACCTGATACAAAAATAGTGGCATTAACATTATTAGCTCGTAAATTTGATTTAAATGTAATTGGTCTCTCCGAAACATTGATTTGTTACTCTGATATTTGCTTATGGTTATTGTAATCCAGGTGTTTGTATATAACGAGAATGAATTTTAGAAAACCGTAGATTGTAAAAATGTCAAATGTAAATGAAAAAAGCATACTGACATTTTCAAATGCGTACGACCACCCCCTCAGTGTAAATGTCATTGTCTAGTGTTTACTTGTATATGGCGTTGTTGACGCCCGAGGTTTGTATATGGATTGTCCAATATACGGATGACGTAATGTCTGTTATTGATGATGACGACTTTTGTAAATACACGTTTACACTCTAACGTAGTATCGATACATCGGAGAACACGATGTATAATAGTATGACGTATTAATATTATTACATGGGAATTCGCAATGTATATTATTGCCAGTGACGATCAACGTCAAAACGCGTAAAATTTAACAAAGTATCAATATATGAGAAGACACGATGTATAATGTTGGTGACAATCTACGGGACGTCTTTGTGAATAAACTTATACAGTAACAATGTGTCAAATGTTTATTATACAAACTAAGTAGATTGGCATGACAACTACTAATAGACAAGTATTTATATAAAAGCCTAATTGAACACGTGACTCTTAATACCCACTGGGAATACAATTTACACGTATATGTGGATGGTCATTTTTAATAATCCGCATTAAAATTCAAAATAGCGGAGGGGAAAATAGTTGGATTGAAAATAATATTGAACGAGGTATTCCATTGGACCATAAAGCACAAAGAAGATCTGCTATACAGCGCAATCAATTTTCTGCTTTCGTTTGCTATTAATAACAGAATTCCTTATGGTATTACAGTCCATATTGCCACCGTGACTGACTTTGTTTTAATGTTATTCTTGCCTGTCTGTCTTTATGATCATATGGTGAATTGTTCTATCGGAAATACAAACACGCTGACTGTTATTGT